AGCATCAAAGTCCAGATCAAAGATGGCAACCCCCGCCCTAGACAGCTCGTCCCAGCGAGGGATCTCGGAGGCCTCCGGGAACTGGTGACGCCATGCGTCCGTCAGGCGGCCAAAGCAGCGCGGAGTGGGGTGCGCACCCCCACACTGCTCACCCGCACGGTCGCCGGTGCGCAGGACGTAGGTACACGGACCAAAACCCCCACCCCGCTGGCGTGCAGTGTACCACTCACGGAGCTGCTGAGGGGACAGGGTCGCACGACCACGCTGCTGCTGCTGGCGCGAGCCACCACCGGAGCCACTCCTCTGCAAAGACCCGCAACCAGCTCCACCGCCACCCCCACCGCCTCCACCGCCTCCGCTGCCTCCACTGCCGCCGCCGCCTCCACCGCCTCCTCCACCGCCGCCTCCTCCGCCACCTCCGCTACCACCGCCACCGCCGCCGCGGCCTCCGCCTCCACTGCCGCCACCGAACCCCCCACCCCAACCTCCACCTCCACCGCTACCCCCACTCCCCCCACTGCCTCCACCTCCACCTCCACCTCCCGCTCCTCCAGCTCCCTTGCCCCCCTTGCCCTTGCCAGGGCGGCGTCTCCCGCTAGGGGCAGACGCCGCGCCGACCGACTCAAGACCAAGGAGGTCGGCCGAAGCAGCAGAGGCAACAGAGGGCAGCAGGGGGGAGGGAGAACACCCCTCAAAGATGGGGGTGCGCGGGTCACCTCGAGAGGCTCCTACAGCGACTATGCTCTTTTCTATCGCGAGGAGGGCCTTCTCGAGGAGGTCTACAGTGAGTGTGGTGGGACAGACTGAGAGAAAGTGGTCCCTGACTACTCGAAGGGAGTCAGGGAGGCGAGTGACTAGGAAGTACAGAGTGATGTACATGGGGGGGGGGGTTCGCGGTGCAGAAGTCAGCAGGAAGTGCAGCGCGGTAGCGAGTGTCACTAGTGCGGAGGTGCGTAATGAGGTCAGCAACGGTGGGAAAAGAAGCAAGGTCAGGGAAGAGGTACGGCAGCATGAGACGGCTCAGTGCAGCAGTGGAAGGGGAGGAGTAGCGCGCGACTACAGCGGCGTACAAGGTCTGAGCACTCTTGTACTGACTAAAGTGCGCACGCTTGGAGGTAGGGAGGTGGCGACGCACAGCAAGACGTGCAGCAGCATCGCGCGTGGCCCACTGGGAGCGAACAGTGGCGTCAGCATCAGCAGCAGGGGCAGGGGAAGCGCCAGAGGTGAGGTCAAAGAGAGAGAGGCCGTCCGCCCTATCGCACTGTAAGAACAGCTGTAGGTCATCTACCCAGACCTCAAAGTCAATGGCCCGACCCTCACATCAAAAGTGAGGACACTAGGGGTAGCCATGACAGCAGTAGACCAGCAGTGCAAGGAGTAGGGGAAGAGCACGCAGTGACAGAGGGTCTGTGCTCACCGGACAGGGCTGTTCGGGCGGCTCGGCTGCAGGGCGGCTCGGCCGCTGGGCGGCTCGGCGGCTGGGCGGCTCGGCGGCTGGGCGGCTCGGCAGCTGGGCGGCTCGGCGGCTGGGCGGCTCGGCGGCTGGGCGGTCGGCTGCACGGCGGCTCGGCTGCAGCGCGGCTCGGCGGCGGGGCGGCTCGGCTGCTCTGCTGCTGGGCGGCTCGGCTGCGCTGCTGTTGGGCGGCTCGGCTGGGCCGCTGACGTAGGGCGGCGGGGCCGCTGTAGAGGAGTGGCGGGGCCGCTGCAGAAGGACGGCGGGGCCGCTGGGTAGTGAGGCGGCGGGGCCGCGAAGACGGGCGGCGGGGCCGCTGCAGAGAAGCGGCGGGGCCGCAGTGAAGGGCGGCGGGGCCGCAACGAGAGAGGCGGCGGGGCCGCAGCGAGAGAAGCGGCGGGGCCGCGAAGTCGGGCGGCGGGGCCGCTGAGTAGGGCGGCGGGGCCGCAGTGAGAGGCGGCGGGGCCGCAGCGAGAGATGGCGGCGGGGCCGCAGCGAGAGATGGCGGCGGGGCCGCGAAGACGGGCGGTAGGCGGCGCGAAGCCGCAGGTAAGGGCGGCGACGGGCCGGGGCGGCTCGAAGCCGCAGGCAGAGGCGGCGCGAAGCCGCGGGAAGGGCGGCGACGGGCCTGGGCGGCGTGAAGCCGCAGGTAGGGGCGGCGAGAAGCCGCCGGTGAGGGCGGCGCAAAGCCGCGGGTAAGGGCGGCGACGGGCCGGGAAAAGGGCGGCGCGCCGCAGCCGCTAGGGCGGCTCGACGCGACCGTAAGGGCGGCGCGACGGGCCGCTAGGTGCGACTCGACGGGCCGCTAAAAAAAAAAAAAAAAAAAAAGGCGCGACTCGAGGCGCGCTTCGGTGGGCCCAAGGAACAGTCCCTAGGAGGGGACCTGCTCTGATTCCATGAGAGAATGAGAACGAGAATGGGGTGAACTATGAAAATGAAGTGAGTACAAATATGAAACCCTAATTGGTTGTACCCCCTATGGGATACCCCACTATAGCCTACACAACAGCATAAGCTATAATGTTCTGACAGACCTTGCCTATCCTCTCAGCATCCTTGCGCCCTTTATTGCGCTTGGGAGACACCGCCTTGTTCACCTAATGGTTGCTACGAAGGTAGCGAAGTACCTGGCCACCACATCAGCACCAGAGTTGTGCTTGGAAAGGCCAGCTAGTGCGACTTATCGGGCACAGCGACTCCTCTTGGCCGGGCGATGGTAAGCCCTGCAGGTGTATATAGGGCTACTATTTTAGCCTAAGCTCCGAAGCTATGTCGCGAAGATCGACACATGCGTCATCTATGGCTTCGTCTGGTGCAGAAGCCAAGATCTATGCTGGTGCCATGGATGCTCAGGAGCTCCGCTGACTGACTTTCTTGCTCACCGTCTTATATGAGCGGCCTAACTCTGGACCGACCTTGCTCGCTGACAACAAGGCTATGATCCTCTGGTGTCCAGAGTCTTAACTCGAAAATAGAGTAAATTACATCGAGTTGCGGTACTTCCCTTCATGAGAGCTTTAGCAACGTGGCCAGGCACGCTTGGTCTTCGTGGCGTTAGAGGCCAACATTACCGACATCTTCACAAGTGCCCTACTCCTTGGTGACCATCACATGCTAATTTTGCAGCTTGGCCTTGTTGAGACAGGTCCATCATTGTTGTACGCTTGCTCTTTGTCTTTTGCGCTGCTTATATTCTTGAATAAAAAATACTATTGGACTGCCTTGTAGCGATTTTTTTGAGAGGCTGGACGGTAGTTGTGCCACTCCGAGTCGCAAACTTGCTTTGTTGCATTTGTTTACTGACCTTGTGACCATCGGTCCTAGTGGTTGGACAAGTTGAGCTGCCCTGGGTTTTTGCTTGCCTTTTTTTGTGCGATGCCCCTTAATTACGGTAGTCTATGTGGCTCTGTTAGATACCGTAAGCCCCCGGATAGAAGCGCAAGCCTCGGATAAGCGCCGGCGCTTATAAAAGGATGAGGGCGCTTATATCCGGTCCTCGATTATAAGCGCACCCCTGAAGGCTAACGGATTATAAGCGCCACCCTCCTCTTTTTTATTATAATTTTACTGAAATCGTTGTAACGGAACTCATCATTTCCATTCCCACATTTTGAATTTCGATGCCCCCTCACCCTCGCCCGGCTCACTGGCAACGCGTCCAGTCAGAATGGGCTGTCAGGGGCGCACGTCGACTCATTCTGACTGTGTGTGTTGGTAGGGAATCAATCCCTGCCAACTTGCACGCGAGATTCTCAATCACAGCCCTGTACAGTATAGTTTCGCATTCTGACTGTGTGTGTTGGCAGGGAATCAATCCCTGCCAACTTGCACGCGAGATTCTCAATCGAACCCTGTATAGTTTCGACTCGATTCAATTCGTAAGAACGGGATATATATACAGTTTGGTGGAAAAACGACGAATTTCATATATGCTATTATATAAGCGCCGACGCTTATAAAATTCCTCAATTATAAGCGCACCCCCTAAAAAAACGTGTTTTTTTATAACCCCAGGGGCGCTTCTATCCGGGGGCTGACGGTAATGATTATGCATGTTAGGCTATAGTGAGGTACAGATTAGGAAGTCCAATCCATTTTAGGGTTGCATACTTGTGCCGTATTCTATTGCTCCTAATGATTATCATTCCATTACGTTGCTTTAACAATTTTATTTCAATCGTTCTCTTATCCAATCATACCCACTAATCACAAGCCTTTAGGGGATTATATCTAGGGAATTATGGTAAAGGGAGCCTAATCTCTCTGTTCTTGTACCCGCTGTAGACTCATGCCCGGCATCATCCACCAACCTCTGTCCATCCACCCACCCACCTGCCCCCCCAGTCCTTCGCGCTAGCCTTTCCCTTCCACGCTGCGACACTACTGGACAATTGTTTCAGGACGCGTCAACTCCCACCAAATTTCGGCGATCGATCGTGCAGGCGATCGGTGTGCAGAGTGTACAGTGATTTAACGACGTCGCCAACTACAAGGTATCCTGGTTTTGCCAGTTTTCGACGACGTACAGTAAAACGGTCACTAAGGTCTTGTCAGATGTGGCTCACGCAATCGATGTGCCTCCAGGCGGCGATCGATCGTGCGATTAGGGAAATAGGGAAATTTTGCCCCATAAAATATCGAACCTGTCACATGTGGCTCGATGGAGCCCTGCGATTGCAATTTTGCAATTGGGGAGCACTGGTGTGGCGATCGAGCCTGGCATGATCGGTATGCAGCACCGATTCCCCGCCGATCTTGCCATTTTGGTGGGAGTTGACGCGTCACTTCACACAAGCACAATACCGTACAGATATGCAACAGACAGATTTCCATTCTATTTTCATTCATGGCCCATTGAGGTGTCATCAGATAACCTAAAATTCCTACATGCGCGCGACGCTAAGCAAGTCGTCACGCTCCCCGCCTCTCGCCTGTCGCCTCTCGCCTTGACCAGGCTTGCGCATTTTGCGACTAGCGAGCGGGCCGAGCGACGTTCCAATCATCTGGGCGACGCCGCATATAGCCGAGCGACCAAATTGGCCCGGCGATGGATTCTCTCCCGTCGACCGTCGTCGATGAGTCTCCTGGCGACGATTCCGCCTCGCCAATCCATTCGCTATCCGACGACCTCCTCACCTCCATCCTCCGCCTAGTCTTCGCATCCGATACAAGCACATCCGATATAGGCATTTGCGATTCTCGCCCGTCCTACCAGGCGGCTCTCGTCTGCAGGCGCTGGTCCCGCATCGCGCCTCTCGCGCTCACCTCCCTCACAGTCCTCTCCGCCTCTTCCGCCGCCTCCTTTTCCCCCAAACGGGAGCTCCTATGCCGCCGTCTTGAGCAAGCGCTGCGCAAGTTTCCGAACCTGACTCGCCTGCACCTCGACAGCCACACGTTCGACTTCATCGACGATCGCTTCCTGCGCGCCCTAGGCTCGGCATGCCCGAACCTGACGTACCTCTTCCTCGGCAAAGTTCGGCTGCCGGTTCGGCCGCCGCTCGTCGACGCGGTGAGCGAGGCGGGCCTCGCGAGCGTCTTTCGCGGATGCAGGCGGCTCGAGCACGTGAGCGTGCACTGCGCGCCGAACATCAAAGACCTCCCCGCGTCGCTCCTCGATCTCTCCGCGCTGCGCCGGCTGCAGCTCGAAGCGCCGAGCTTAAAGCTCTTTCCGGAAGTCTCCCGGGGGAGATTAAGTACGCTCCGCGATTTGCGGCTGCTGTCGTGCAACGCGCTGCCTTGCCTGCCGGACTCGCTCGGCGACCTCGCGGGCCTCACTCATCTGCGCATCGAGAAATCTGATAACCTTGAGCAGTTACCGGACTCGTTATGCGACCTGCAGCTGCTCGACGTCCTCGTTATAAGCTCCTGCTACTGGCTCACGTCGCTGCCCGACGATCTCGGGCAGCTGCCCTGCCTGCGCGTGCTTGAGCTGGACGGTTGCGGGGGATTGCTCGAACTGCCCTGCTCGTTGCCGCAGCTACACTCACTCGAACGACTCGTTATAAGCAGATGCGGTAACCTTACACTTCTGCCTGAAGATATCGGCCAGTTACCACTCTTACGCGAATTAGAAATCAGCAAGTGTCATCGACTTGTCGGCCTCCCGCCATCCCTCCCCGACCTAGCCCAGCTCGAGTTCCTGGAAGTTTCCGACTGCACGCGGCTCGAGTCTTTACCCGACGACCTAGGTCGTCTATCCGTTCTTAAAACCCTGCGCCTCGCCTCGCTTCCTAATCTCTCCTCTCTGCCCGAAACCCTAGACCAGCTCTCTTGTCTGCGTGAGCTCCAATTAGAAGACATTGACAATCTTTTAGGCCTGCCCGACCCGATAACGAGCCTCGGGCAGCTGGAAAAACTCGTTCTGGGGCTGTCCTGCTCGCCGAGCCTGCCCGAATCCGTAGGGGCGCTGACCCGTTTGAAAGAGCTGCAGCTGCGACACTGTAAGGGGTTAACGGGTCTGCCTGTAGCGATGCGCGCAATGATGCGGTTGGAGCGGCTGGTGGTGGAGGAGTGCTGCGAGCTGGTGGCTCTGCGGCTGCCGGAGGGAGAGGGTGTGAGTGTGAATGGGAGGGCTGGAGGAAGAGAAGGAGGAGGACATGCTGTGCACGCAGGATCAGGATTCGAACGGGAAGGATGGGCAGCTGAACGGCAGGGGGAAAGGCAGCAGCAGCAGGGGCAGAACCGGGGGCAGCAGGGACAGCAGGGGCAGCAGGGGCAGCAGGGGCAGCAGATGCAAGAGCATCAGGGTCAGCAGGGACAGAAGGTGGGGGGGTTGGATGCAGCAGGAGCATCAGGCTCAGCACCGTTCCCAGCCACTCTTACAGACGGACTCAGCTGTCTCACTCTCATAACCAAATCTTCTCATCTTTCCTCCGCCCTCCCCCCGTGCACCTCCCTCCTTCCCCCTTGCACCTCCCCCCGCCTCCGCGCCCTCATTCTCATTGGCTGCGCGTCCCTGCGCGCCCTCCCCGCATCTCTGACTGCCCTGTCTGAGCTAGAGCGGCTGGTGGTAACCAGGTGTACCGCGTTACAGTGGGTGCCGGGGAACCTGGCGCGGATGCAGGGGCTGCGGGAGCTGAGGCTGGATGGGTGCAGAACGGTGCTGCTGCCGCCGTCGCTGGCGTGCCTGGGGCGGCTGGAGAGGCTGATTGTAGTGAGTAATGGGTGCAGTGGGAGCGGCGTGGGGGCGGGGGATGAGGTGGAGGCGGGGATGGGGATGGAGGCGGGGGACATGAATGGTAGCATGAATGGTGGCAGCAGCAGCATCGGGAGTGGACCTGGGTGTGTTACAACCAAGGAAGGTGCTGCTGACAGGTGTAGCACTGGAGATAGTGGCAGTATAGATGGTGCTGCTATGGTTGCAACCACACCCAGCAGTGGCAGCAGCTCCAAGGGCTCTGGCAGTGCTGTTGCTACCACTACCACTAGTGTTAGTTCTGCTTCTGCTGCTGCTAGCGATGCCGCCGCTGCTGGTAGTGCTGGTGGAGGCGAAAGGGGGGAAGCAGGAAAACCGCAGAGCATTCCAACCCGTCTGTCACCGGCCCGCACTGACACCAGCTGTGGCAGTGGGGCAGATAGCAGCAGCAACAGCACCAGCGGGGACAGCAGTAACTATAGTGGTAACTGCAGCAGCTGCAATGGAGGCAGCCACGGATTCATTATAGCACAGTCACACCCACAGCTGCACAACCAACCTCAACCACACACACGACATGATTCCTTACCTGCCCTTGTCCCTTCCAGTCCAACCAATTGCCCCTCCTCTGCACACCAGCCCTTCTCTTCCTTCCTCCGCTCACCGCCCCTGGCTCTCCCCCCCGGCATGGGCCAGCTGGCGCAGCTGAGGGAGCTGGAGGTGAGCGGCTTTGACTCCCTCTCCGCCCTGCCGCCCTCCCTCGCCTCCCTCTCCCTCCTCACCCGCCTCTGCCTCACCGGATCCCTCAAGCTCGCCTCCCTGCCTGACCTTCCCTGTGGTGCCGTTGCTGCTAGTTCTGACTCCTGCTGTGTTTCCTCCTCCTACCCCTCCTCCTCCCTCATAGCCCCTTCATCCGCTGTCCCCCACGGTACCTTCTTCCTCCACCTCACCAACCTGAGAGACCTGCAGCTCGACTCCTGCCTCTCCCTCTCCTCCCTCCCTGCCTCCCTCTCCTCTCTCTCCTCCCTCACCCGCCTCCACCTCGCCTTCTGCTCCTCCCTCTCCGCCCTTCCCCCACGCCTCTCCTCCCTCTCCCACCTCCGCTCCCTCAACCTCCAAGAATGCATCTCCCTCACATCCCTTCCCCCCTCCCTCTCCTCACTCGTCCGCCTGGAAGGGCTTTACCTCAAGGGGTGCATTCAGCTGAAAAGCCTTCCAGGCGACATCGGGTATTTGCCGAGGCTAAGGGAATTGGATCTGAGGGATTGTGAGGGCCTGCTGGCCCTGCCTGGGTCGGTCACTCACCTTACAGGACTCAAGTGGTTGGATATCTTTGGGTGTAGCCGTTTGGATAAGGACTCTGTTCCTGCCAGGATAGGACAAGCCACAATATATAGGAGCTAGGGTGGTTGGGGTTCAGGGCAAATTTTATCAGTGTAAATCACCCTGATACCCTGATTATCAGGGTGGTTTTTGGTAGTCACACTGATGGCCTAGGGTAGTTTTTTCGGGAGCTAGAATTTTCCTGATACTATGCTGGGGTTTACATTTAAAGCTCGCGGGTCGCGGCCCAAATTGTACAACTTTACTAAAGTTGCATGTTGGGAGGTGAGGGAGCAGGGTTGGAAAGTCGAGGTGTTGGGTGGGTTGAGGGCTTTGGTTTCGCCCAACTTCTCGCCAATCTCAAACACATTTCGCTGACTCAGCAGACCCCAGGGGCCACTTCGCGTTTGGTTGCATGTGTCCCATATTGCACAAATACTATCCTTGCCAGTTTCCCACCCAACCCCCTCCGCAAACACTGTTTCAATCTTGCTAGCCAATCAGCTCATCAGTGTTTCAAATTGACTAGCCAATCAGCTTCCTTCGTACAACCCGTAACCTCAATTCGCAAAACCAGTGTTGGGCTGAGAAAGCCCTTAGGATCTTTGCAGGACTATTCCAGGTAGAAACAATGTAATAGCGGAAGTGTTTAATGATAAGTCTTGTGAACCACCTTGCGCTGGTATGTGAGGGCAAAGTAGATTGATTAAAACAGAGAGATACAATGTTTTATAAGAGTACAAGGAATATGAAGGGATACAGTTAATAACCGTTTTACTGCTACTGTTGCGGTTCGATACAGTGACGACTCGGGCAACTGCTCAATAACGAGTCAGTTGTGTGTCCTTGCTGTCGCGCTGTATTTGTCAGGTCAAGGGTCGCTGACCTTTGACTTTCGCCAGGGCCCAAAATTGGTTTAGGCCTACCCTTACAAATCAGGGTTCCAGCCCCTCCTTAGCTCGACCCCTAGGGTACATTTTTTCGTACCCTGTTTGCAGCAGGGTAAATCAACCTGTAGTCTGATTTGAGCAGGGTAGTTTTAGGCTAAGCCTGTTTCGGCTACTATTTTGTGAGCGAAGTTTTTTATACTAACATAATAAAGTAGCACTCACAACAGGGTATGACAGGGCGAATCTCGTGTAAGGGCGAATCTGCTCTTGTGTCAGGGTAATTCCGCTGTGATTGGGCAATTTTTCTGCTCTCTGACAGCGCAAAACTGTGATTGGGCGAATTTGTTGTGCTGTGACCAGGGCTGACGTTTCGTTTTAGGACTCCCTGATTCCAGTAAAATTTTTGACCCTCTATTATGAGGGCACATTTTTCGCAAGGTAGCTACCCTGATAGCTCAGTGTCACACGAAGTCCAACTCTGACCGGACAGGGTTCACAGCTCAAAAACAGGGTTGCTATTAACAGTGCACTATCTTCCGAAATGATACAACTGCATGCACTTTCCTACTCTATCTAGTCTAGTGCACGGGCTTGTCTATGAAGTACACCTCCTCCACATCCTCATCGTCCGACAGGAATGGATTGTCCTCCGCTTCCTCCTCCCCCACGATCTCCTGATCGTTGCCGAAGGCCTGTTCCACTTCATCGTCCTCCTCCTCCTCCTCCTCCTCCTCCTCCTCCTCATCCTCATTCTCCCCGGCATTTCCAGCAGCCACATCTTCACCCTCCTTCTGCTTCCCCCTCCTCTCCCTCTCTGCCACAGCCAGCTTCAAGCTCTTCGCAGGGCGCCTCCTCCGCAGGGACCTCCACACCTCCAGTGCCTCCGGCCAGTCGATCTCATACTTGAGGAGCGATATCTGCATCAGCTCCCCCAGACGCGCGTTGCACAGCGCTCCTCGCACCCAGGACTTGATGACGTTCTGCCTGGAGAACCCCCTCTCGCACTCCACGGTGGAGAGGGGGAGCACAGCCAGCGCCTGCCACAGCAGGATGAGGTTGGGCCATCTCCTGCCAGGCACATTCGTACACACAACACAACGGAAACAGTTAGCGATGCGCAACAAGATTGTAAAACCCATGTTAGCAAAGTATAGGCTACCTCTTGGAGTCTTCGCTCCCAAGGAAGTTGGACAGGCCCTGGGTGAAGCTCTCCATCTCATGGTGTGCCTCCATGATCGCGCAGAAGGTTGGAAGCTCCCTCTCTGCTGCTTTGAGGTCGAATCCCGGCAGCTTGTTGCGGAACAGCCTGCTGCATCCGTTCAGCCACTCCTTACACTTCTTCTCTCGCTGGGCCTTGATCTTCGGCCACTTCCCCGCCCGGAACAGCTTCGTCGGCCCCAGCTTCCCAAGGTCATCCAGTCGGTTGTTGAGGTTGTCCACGCAGTCACGGGCGAATTTGCGGCACAGCTTCACGCAGTCTGCGTAGGTGCTTCCGTGTTTGTGCCCCTTCAGCTTCCGCTCATGCATGGTGTACAGGTGGTTGATCGGGCGTCCAGCACCGTCCACGCCGCGCACCCGGACCTGCTTGCCTCCACCCTCCTTGTGGACTTTGAGGAAGTTCACCAGCCAGCTCTTCCCTTCGCCCCCGAAAGCTTTCTCTGGCGTCAAGTAGCGCTCCGTCAGGTCACTCGTTGTGGACTCGATCGTCTTCGCAATCTCAGTCACGTCCAGCTGTGTCAGAGCAGGGGTAGACAAGAGGGAGAAGGATGAGCAACAGTGCAGTTACGAACCTCACGTAGCAACATCATACAAACATGCGACCTCACCTCTCGTCTCTGGAAGCAGCGGTTGAGGTCGTTCATGTCCGCCAGGATGTCGGCCAAGAAAAACAAGCAGAATTGAAACTTGTAGCAGGTGACAATCTCGTACGCCTTGTGATTGTGCTCCCAGAGCAGCACGATGCAAGCGCCGAGGACCTTGCACAGCCTGGCCACCGCATCTCCTCGAGACAGCCACCGCACCGTGTGGATGCCTTCGACTTCCAGGTTGGTCTTGTAAATCACACGCTGCAGGTACTTGAACCGCTGACTCCACACGCTGGAGTTTCCGAGCAGAGTCGCCACAGTGCGCACCACCTTGTCGACCATGCCGAGATCCGGGTTTGAGTCAGCGGCGTCCTTCACAGCCAACGCCTCACTGTGAAAAGCAGGGAACAAGTATTATGGTTTGTTAGTAAACCAATCAGCGTAGATAACATGCTACAATACAGACCAACTCACATACCGATGGGCGATGCAGTGGCATGAGAACAGATGAGGGACGTGTTCACGAAGACGCGCCACCAATCCGTTCTCTCTCCCGGTCATGACCGACGCCCCGTCTGTGCTGATGCCGACGATCTTGGACACATCGACGGCAGCGGAGCGAAGATGGTTCAGAAGCACCTCAAACAAGGACCCTGCATCACACCGCTCGACCGTCAGCAAAGTGAAAAACTCGCATGCAACTTGGCGGTTCTTCAGAAATGTAAGGTACACAATCATGTGTTTCCCTCGCGTGCGGTCAGTGCTCTCGTCGCACTGGATGCCCAGGAACGGTGATGCCAGGACGTGGTCCATCTGCACCCGGGTGAGGTAAGTGCTCATGCTGTGGACCATCTGCTGGAAGCCGTAGCTGCAACAAAGGACAGAGAAATTATCAGTACACGATAGTCAAGCAAGTTGTTTGACGTGCATGTTTAAATTTGCAATCAATTTGAACCGTCACTTACCGCGTGAGATAAACGCCGTACGACTGCCGAGGAATGTCTGGCGTGTCCTGCTCCGCAAGATGCCGCATCAGCTTAGGAAACATGCTAATCGGCGCGTCGCACTGGCACAGGAACTGAGTCGACCGCATCAGCCGTATCGCGCGGCGGCCCTCGACGTCGGAGTTGATGAAGTCCGAAATCACCTGCTGCCCCTCGCGGATTCCCGCCGCAATCTTCATCTGGCGGTCCACCACCGCCATGTGTGCGTCCGTATGCTCGTGCGCCTGGAACGACTGCGTCTGCAAGTCACGGCCTCCGTCGTCTCCCTGCATGGCGTACCTCGTGTTCCCCTTACCGTACGACATGCAGATGCTGCACTTCACGTACGGGAAACCGTCCTTGGTTTTCCCAAACACAAGCCAAGAAAAGTATCCCGCCCACTTCGTCTCGTAATTAATACTCGCCTCCAGGTACATCTGCTCTCGTAGCTGCGTCTTGGTGAGTGCCGGCGAGCCGGTATCCGCGCGCACCGGGATGTCACCTTCTTCCGGCAGCTCAGCTTCTTTCTGTGCAGGCTCATCGGGCTTTTCCGGCGGTGGAATACGACGGCCTCCCACCAGCAGAGTACTCTGCGCCCACTTACCAGATCGCGCACGCTTGGGAGCGGAAGTAGCCGACGGCGGGCCAAGGGACACCCGCACCGTGCTTGGAGTAGGACTGGGCGAGGGCGGTGGAGGATCTTTGCTGCAGCCAGCAACAGCCGGGGGGAGAGTGAACGGGACGGGAATAGGAGAAGCAGTAGGAGTAGGGGTTACTACAGGGGCAGATTCGTGAACGGTAGACCTAGGCGGTTCAGGTGTGACGGGAGCAGCCGTAGCTCTAAGAAAAACTAGCCCAGAGCGGGGAGCATCCGAAGCTTTCTCCGGTTGGGACGGCGCTGTTGGTTTCGCTGTTACAGGCGGCTCGTCGGGGCCAGTGTCCGGAGCAGCTTCGTCGGCCGGCATGGCCTCCATTGGTGGCTAAACTGAACGAGAGGAAAATGAGATAATGAATGCACGGAATGGAAAGAAAACACCAGTGAACAAAGGAACGTTGGCTGTTGGTAGGGGGAGGGAAGGGAAGGTTGGAGATGGCGGGAGCACGAAACCACCGCGCCGCGATTCCACGGACTTGATGGCAACATTCGACGATGAATTCGTCGTTGCATTCAAGGCCGAATTCATTCACGGACTCCTTGGCTGCCACCGCATGCTGTCAACAGGCCATTCTGGCCAATGGCAGACACATGCTGTGCACTCTGCGGTGCGCGTGGCAGCACCGTATCATTGATTTGGCTGCGTTGGCGCTGTTGCCAGCTGTGATGTACAGCACGTCAGTGTTTTCCTTTGTCGGTATTACGTCACTCACGGGCGCGTGAAGGGGGTACCTCACATGGGGCCACTCGAAGAAATGATTACGCACAAGGGGGTTATCGAAACGAAGCTTCTAGGAAACTTCGTCCCGATACCCTCGCATTCAGGGTCCACGGAACGCATACCCTGCATAGACAGAGTCCGCAACTACACTACTCTGAGCCTAGTTACAAGAATTCAGAGTCCGTTAAGTAGCTTCTCTGATTGGATCAGAGTTCACAAAATACAAAACCTGAGTTTGCAGGGACCACCAAGTCAGAAGCCTGTAATCACCCTGAAATCAGGGTAATTACCCTGATAAAATCAGCCCTGGCTGTGACAGCACGAAACTACCGTGCCAGGGCGAATTTGCTGTCAGGGCTTTTTGGAAATGTCTGTTTGTGTGAGTGTGGTACAGTTCGTCACCACGCGGAATACGGCCTGATCTGCGGTAAAGAAGTTTTGGTATTAGGACAGTCTACACCCTACCCTGACACCGTCAGGCTAACCGTAAATCCAATCAGTGTAAAAAAAAAGCATGCTCTTTTTGCAGAAGGGTAACGATCGTGCACTCCTGATTTTGGCAGGGTAATCATGAAAAAGCGGCCGGCCCCCAGGGTAATCAAGGCGTTTTACCCTGATATTTTGGGCCCTGACTTTCACGTAACCTCCAGCTGTTGTTCAACCTCCAAGGGTTGACTCGCCGATGCTTCACTGTACTTCGCTTCGTTTACAGCTTAGTGCTTCGACACGACCGATGCGTTTTAAATAACTTGTTTCCAACACTCCCCTTCGCTCTTGGAGTGTCGTTGCTGGTGACGTGGCCTTGTCCAGTCAGCAGCATGCAGTACTCGAATTTCTGCTTTCCGAGTTTCTTGGTCAAGTAATCAGCTGCCATCTCAGACGTGGGGCAGTAGGACAGCTCGAGTCTCACCTTCTCGATCTCGTCTTTTACGAAGAAATATCGCAGGGCGATGTGCTTCATCCTGTTCGCGAATCCATTTTTGTTGGTGATGCGAATTGCAGATTGGTTGTCGCAGAACAGAGAGAAGCTGGGTAACTGGGCCAATTTCGCCTCTTCCAGTAGTTCGCGAAGGTAAAGTCCTTCCTTGGTGGCTGAGCAGAGTGCAATATATTCTGCTTCAGCTGAGGAGAGTGCAATTAGTTCCTGATTGCTCGACTGCCATGAGATGGGCCCGATAGGTTCAAGTCGGTAGATATAGCCAGTGCGCGAGCGCCTGTTCTCAGAGTCAGCGGCGCGATCAGCATCGACGTAGCCGATTAACTTAGGCGTCGTAGTTCCCATTTTGTAGTAAGTTAGTCCGATCGTCGGAGTGCTGACGAGGTAGTGTAGTGCGCGGTCGAGCTTCGCCATGTGCTCTGCTTCAGGTTTCTTGAGGTAGGTAGCGAGTTGGCTTGCGGAGTAAGAGAGATCCGGTCGGCAGGTGACGGCTGCGAAGAGCAGACATCCCAGTTTTCGTTGGTAGTCGCGTATGCCAGCGGGTTTTGCGGAGATAACTCGTGCAACGGGAGCTAGACTACGGGCTAGGCACGGGGCAAGAGTGATCGTAGCGTTCGTTGGTTCCTTAGTCGTTTCCAAGTGCTAACACTGCTTGCTAGTTCACGGAGAAAAATGGCAAGAGTTTCACTAGGAAAACATGACAACAAAGGTTCGGAATGATTGCATCAACATTGGCAACACTGACTACATCAGACCTAGCAAGGCTGCTGGCCTACTACCAGCGCAGCACGGTCGACCGCGTGCCAACACGACTTGGTCGACCGCGCTCCAGCAGAGCATTGTCGAGGCTTGCCAACGTTACAAGTCTGCGGTGCGCCAACGCTGCAGTATGTCGGCTGTACAGCGTCGCATCCGCGGGACAACGGTGCACCAGCTTCGCAGGTGCATGCAGCTGGTTGGCGCCCAACTCCCCGTCACATGCCCAGCGCAGACACTTCACCCGTAACGGCGCCCACCAGCCACGTCGACCTCGGGATACCACCCCCGAGGTCGTCCTCACAGACAACATCCCCGGCGACTTTCGCGCACATCACCCGGGTATCCTGGTTGGCCGGGTATTTCGCGGTTCTCCCACAATTTCGCAGCCATCGCGGCCTCCCGCGATTTCGCGGCCACCGCGGTCCCCCCGTGACTTCGCGGTCACCGTGGTCCTCCCGTGACTTCGCGGTCACCGCGGTCCTCCCGTGACTTCGCGGCCACCGCGGTCCTCCGTGGTTTCGCGGCTCCCACGGTCCCCCGCGGTTTCGCGGCTCCCACGGTCCCCCGCGGTTTCGCGGCTCCGCCCAAGCGAGGACGGGGCCAAACACAACTCCTGTTGACACTCCCCTGCCGCGTTCACGCTTGGGCCCTCCCCCTCGGCCCACACGGCAGTACTGCTTGGAGAATAGCCCGTCGGCGTGCACACAACGCACAGCACGCCGGTCACCGCACCAGCCATGTAAAAGGGCATGGCACCTACTGCTGCACGTCGTTGTCACCGTCGCCCACATCGGCCAGGCGCACTTGGCCGATTGCAACGGAGCACCGGTTGAAGGCCGGGTAGTGCAGCGCCTTCGTCAGGAAGTCGGCCGGCTGCTCAGCGGTCGGGATGTACTTCAGCGAAAACTTCCCGCGCTTCACCATGTGCTGCAGCCAGACCTGTCGCTGCTCCATGTGCTTGAGGTTGCCCGTCAACCCCATGCCCTCGCCGACCGTGATGGCCGACTTGTTGTCCACCCTGAGGACAGTCGGCTTCCCAGCGTCCAGCCGCTGGAACTCCGCGAGGAGGAAGCGAAGGCGACGTCCCTCCTTGCCGGCTTCGACGGCCGCCACGTACTCCGACTCGGTCGACGACAGCATCGCGCACTTGATGCGCTGGCTCGACCAGGAGACCGCGGCCCCTCTGTGGACGAACACGTAGCCGCCCGTGCTCATCCGGTTCTGCTTCTCACCCGCGTCATTGGCGTCCACGAAGCCGACCAACTCCAGTGACTCCGGACCACCGCCGAACTCCAGGGCGGTGTCTCGCGTGTTGGCAAGGTAGGCGAGGCAGCGGTCGACTTCGCGCCAGTGCTGGTCGCTCCTCACCGTGAGGCCGCTCCCCAGCTTGCTGCACGCGAATGCGATGTCCGGCATTGTCGTTGTCGCCGCGAACTGCAGCGAGCCGACCTTCTGCCGGTACTCCTCCTCCTCGCGCTCCTGCGCTTCCTCGTCGTCGAATGTCTGCTCCGCGTAGGCGGCGACGGAAACCGGCGTCTTCGGAGTGCGCCCGGTCTGCTCCTCGTCGATAAAGCGCCTGCGCAGCTTATCGGCGTAGCCCTGCTAGTGTAGCCACAATTTTCGCGCCGGTCTGTCGCGCACGATCTCCAGGCCGAGATACTTCTGCACCGGCGAAATTTCGCGCAGCTCGAAAGCGGCCTCCAGCAGCTCCTTCAGCTCCTTCAGCATCGCGGTGCTGCTGCTCGCGTCGAGAAGGTCGTCGACGTAAACCAGCACCCAGCAGGTCACCTTGTCGTTGCCGACCTTGAAATACAGAGCCTCGTCAACTTGGCTCTTCTTCCACCCGGCGCCCACCAACACGTCGTTGAGAGCCGTGTACCACAGCAGCGGCGACTGCTTCAGCCCATAGAGGCTCTTCAGCAGCTTGCACACCCGGCCGGTCCCATCGTTGAAGTGCTCCGGCTGGTGCATGTACAGCAAGCGGTCGAGCTTGCTCTGCAAAAAGGCGTTCTTCATGTCCAGCTGCATCAGGTTGAGGTCGAGGACGGCGACGATGCTGAGGAAAATCCTCAGCGTAACGTAGCTGCTCACCGGCGCGTACGTCTCGTCGTAGTCAGCACCATATACCTGCGTGAAGCCCTTCACGATCAGCCTCGCCTTTTCGCGCTCGACAGTGTCGTCGATGCGGTACTTCGTTGTCAGCACCCACCGGTTCTTCATTACGTTCACCCCCGGTGGGCGTTCGACCAGCTCCCAAGTGCCCATGTGAATGAGGCTACGGATCTCCTCCTGCATGGCGGCCTTCACCGCCGGGCCCTTCCAGCTCGCCAACGCCTCCTTCACCGTCATGGTCGAAATGTCCCAACGGTGTTCGGGATCAGCGTGAATATCAGGGTCGATCTCCGAAAGCTCCTCATCGTCCTCGGCGTCATCGTACGCCAGGTCGTCGTCGTCCACATCGTACACCGTGGTGAAGGCAGCAGGGACGAAGAAGTCGGGTGGCCTCCGAATTCGGCCCGACTTCCGAGGTCCGAGCTGCACCTCCACCACGTCGCTCGATGTGCCTTCATCGAACTGCTCCCCTGTCGTCCGCTCCTCTGGAGCAAGCTTCGAGTTCGACGGCTTCCCTGTCGAGGACTCCTCTGAAACGCGCTTCCCGTCCGACTCCCCTCTCGGCGGCTTCTCTGAAACGCGCTTCTTGTTCGAGAGCTCCCCTGCCGACTGCCCCGCGGTCGGCTTCACTGCTGCATCATCCTCTCTCTGCTGCCTGCTAGCCGCGGGCTCCTCCGCGGTCTCCTCCGCGGTCGGCGTGGCGAACTCCTCGCGGTTTCCTTCGCGAGCTCCTCCGCGGGTTCCGCGGTTTCCTTCGCGTGCTCCTTCGCGGGTTCCCCAGCGGTATTTT